CTTGGTGGTGTAGTTTCTTCCATATGGCCAGTGTGAGTAGATCAAGTGTACATCCAGCAATGCAAGAATGCAAGGATGCCACAAAAGGGCAGGCCGAATATATCGAGGCATATGCGGCCTCTGTTGTGGGTGCTACGTGTGGGATTGTTCGCTTTGTTCGCTGGCGAGACTATGGTGACACCTAACGACATTATTCATTTCTTGGCAGAGGCAGCTGTTAGAGACTAAGGACGGAGTCTATGAAGATTAGGGGCCCAAAATTCTCAAAATCGTTGGACCTAATTTCTGGACAGAAATGTCGAGTTTACAAGAAACGTCGTCGACAAAAATTGCACTGTTGGAATCTTGCGAAAACCAAATATGTTGTAGCTCCAGACCGTGGCTACAAGTCCCAATTTGAATCACATGAAAAGGTTGCGTATATCGCGAGATATTAAATTCGGCGCACTGGGGGGTATGCTGCAATAGAAGCTTAACTCAATCACAAGAGTTGTTCTCAAGTATCACAAAGAGAATTAGAGTAGCTAGAAACCAGGTAGGAGGGAAGAGGAGGACGAGAGGGAAGGTCCCCAAGGAGTCCCCAACCAAGGAAACCCCCATACCACACAATTCCCCTCTCTATAGGCACCCCAACTTTGACCTTTGTCACTTTCCCAACCCATGCCATCCACCTTCCCAACTTGGCCACACTTCCCAACCTGGTTTGGCTTCTCCCAACCACTTGGAAACATCTACAGTAATGGGGACGAATTTCCCAACCCCCAAAAGTCTATACCCCATATAGAGTCACTCCACAAATTCCCAAAGTCGCCGCATCACAATCAAAACTTCGAACGATAATAACTTTCTCGTTCTTGCTCCGATCGCGGCGATTCTTGGTTCGTCGGAAAGCTCTTGAGCAGAACAATCATCTCAGGTATCTGCTCAAACCAAATAACATTCACACACACTCAGAGAATCCAAACCACACGAAACACAAATTCTTGCACACGCTCACACCACGCATGCAACGCACGAACATATGATGGGAGGCAGACAGACGTGAATGCAAATGATAGCATCACATAACAGCAGCACCAGATGCGACGCTTCAACTCATCATAGTAGGCCTAGCTGCAGATAAGCTGAAAAATGGTATTGGGTCATTCCAATGAATATGCATATTGTGTGCACCTTCTTGTGTGAACCCAATTCCACCCAGATCCCGAATCAGAGCGTTCGCAAATCGGCGCCATGGTCGAGATGCTCCGTCAAAAGTACCGTCACATTTTCAAGGGGCGCGTTCAGGGAGGCTACGAGAATATTACAGATCTACTGGAACGACCGGATTGGGAGTTGTCCAGCGTCAGGTTTAGATTTCCGATTATGCGGTTAGATCATCGCATAAGACCTATACCTGTGGAGGGCCTGTCATGGGGAGGAGCAAGGCACGGAAAGGCATTTTCTCTACAGCTGAATGGAGGTAATAAGCTCCATGCATTTGAAAGACTCACTAATGCAAAGATGTCAGCGCACTGTGCTCTCTCTAACCTTCGAATTCCACTCTGTGCTAATTTTACCTTATCTTATCGCTCTCGATGTACTGCAGGTAGTCTCGCGCCGAGGGCTAGCGTCGAGTCAGCAGACCGTGATATGATGGATAATGGGACGGATTCACCTAATCCAAGACAACGCCGACGGCCAAGCTGGTGATCAAGAGTGCATACACTCCACCTCCTGCAATGTACCGCTATTAGTAGCGATACCGACGGTAACAATTACACTCCCCATGCACTGGCCTACCTCATCAAATATCGATGAGATTTTTTAACAACAGGTATGTCTCATTGAACCGCGTACAGTTGTTAGATTCTTCAAGGGATGTTGGTTGGTGTGCTCGCATCAACAGACATGCGGAGGAGCCATGTCTTTGAGGTCATGGAAATTTTCATGGGCACAAGTTGACATGTTTTGGAGGTATGATGCGTGCTCCGATAGCATGGAGTTTTGGTCGTGCACTAATAGAAACGTTGAGACAAGAAGAGCTGGTGTCGGGGCCCATGTGCCTATACTCCATTCCAAATTTGTAGGAGCATTTCGTGCAATTGGAGCGGGTTGCGTTCTGTAAAAGATGGAGGACGGAATCTATAACGTTTAGGGGCCGAAATATCTCAAAATCGTTGGACCTGGTTTATGGACAGAAATGTCGACTTCATAAGAAACCTCGTTGATGAAAAGATAGCCGTTAGAAATTCACGAAAATTGAGTATGTTGTAGCTCTAAACCGTGGCTATTGATCCCAATCTGATCTCGAGTTATGATTTTCGGCGCACTAGGGGGTATGCTGCTTGTGGCTGAAACCTAACTCAATCACCATTATCCACACAAGAACCACAAAGAGGATTAGAGTACCTAGAAACCAGGTAGGAGGGGATGAGGAGGACGAGAGGGAAGGTCCCAAGGGAGTCCCCAACCAAGAGAAACCACATATGCTCACAACATTCCCTCCCTATAGGAGCCCCACTTTTACTTTTGTCACTTTCCCAACCCATGTCATCCAACTCACCCTAACTTGGCCACACTTGCTAACCTGGTTTGGCTTCTCCCAACCACTTGGCAGCAACTACAGTAAAAGTGACGAATTTCTCAACCCCCAAAAGTCTATACCCCATATAGAGTCACTCCGCCATAATTGCCGCATCACAATCAGAAATTTCAAATGATCATAACTTTCTCGTTCTTGCTCCGATCGCGACGATTCTTGGTTCGTCATAAATCAGTCCGAGCTTCGACACGAGAAACGAGAACGCCTTCGTATCCTTCTTCACCCATGCTCCATGCTCCTCTGTCGAGGTGCTTGAGGGCTTCGCTTCGGATCCGTCGAAGAAGCCCCAAAGCTCACGCTCCATCATGTGCACCTTCAACTTGAAGCGCCATGATGCATAGTGTTCGCCATTGAACAATGGCACCGCATTCATGTCAACGATCATCGTAGATGCGGAGTAGGACTCATTGGGGGTAGGACGAAGGGGGACATCAGAGGTCGATGAGGAAAACAAAGACATGGCGACTAGTAGAGCTAGGCGTCAAGCGTTTGGGAATTTCTATAGCTCCGATACCATGCAGGAAGAACTGTCTACTTTAAAACGTCGTTGTGAACTGAATACTTGATGACAAATCCGTAGCAACAGAGAACGCCAAGAACAGCCAAGTATTGAGAATGTAATTGTCAATTATATAGGGCTGGGTACAACATTCTAGAGAGGATGCAATTCACAATGATTAGAGAGTATTTATACTCTATAACATAGAATTCAAGAAACTCCCTATAGTCGAATTGCATTTGTAACCGAGCCACGTGTAATTTCGTAACCCACCCCATTGCAAAATTGACAGTGGAATTTTGGAGTTACGTCCTTTTCCGTTTTGCATTTCCGTCCATGCACTCAAGTTGCGATTACAATTGGTCGAATTAATTGTATCACGCCACTTGTTTGTGTTTTGGTTGGTTCCTTCTGCCCAACTTGTAAATAACCCTCGATGGTTTTGTCTCTTCTTACCACCCAAGTGCATCCCTTGACTTGAGTGCACCGTCACCCTCCGCCCAAACTCTCGCCACCCAACCCAACTTGTCTAGGTTGGAAGGAAGTGTTGTGGGGGCCACTTGTCCCCAACCGACCTCCAAAACTCCCCCTTAGTCCCCACGAGCACCTATGCATACAGCCTACCCTAGCACAACATGCATGAAGAGCATCTCTAGGCAATGGCTTGGTAAGGAAGTCCGCGGATTGAGCGTTGGTCTTTACGTAGCGTAGCTCCACCTCCTTGTCTTCGACGAGTTTGCGGATGAAGTGATGGCGAATTTGGATGTGCTTGGTCCTTCCGTGAAGGACCGAGTTCTTCGCAAGGTTGATTGCCGCTTGGTTGTCCACTTAGATTGGTGTGGGTCCCTTTTGCTTGTATCCTAGCTCGGCTAGGAGACGCCTCAACCACACGGCTTCGGTACCACCACAGTTGAGAGCAACATACTCGGGCTCGTTTGAGCTAAGGGCAATCAAGTTTTGCCTCTTGCTTGGCCAAGCCACCGCTCCCCCAAGGAGCGTGAAGACAAGGCCCGAGGTGCTTTGCCGAGTGGAAGGATCCACCGCCCAATCGGAATCCGTGAACCCTTGGAGCACTATCGGCCCGGCTTCATAGTGGAGCCCTAGGTGACTAGTGCCCCTAACATAGCGAAGAAGACGACGCAAGGCATGCTCGTGCTCTACCATGGGGTTGGATACTACTCGCCCAAGTAGCCCAACCGTGAAGGAGAGGTCAGGACGGGTGCTTACGGTGGCATACATGCATGAGCCTAATATGGAATGAAAGCGCTTGGTCTTCTCGGGATCCATAGGGACTTCCTCGCTTGTAGCCAAAAGGTGGAACCCCACCTCCATGTGTGTGGGTGCCGGCTTGCTCTCGCTCATCCCGAAGCAAGCCACCACGTCCTCCAAGTACTTGTGTTGGTGAAAATGAAGAGTCTTGTGCGCACGATCGTGGTCGATGTGCATGCCGAGGTAGTATGACACGGTACCAAGGTCGCGCTTGGAGAACTTCAATGCAAGCTTCGCCTTGATCTCCGCCACAAGGTCCTTGCAATCAGAAACAAAGAGAAGGTCGTCCACGTAGAGAAGTAGGATGAGCTTCTTCTCCCCACGGTTGAGGATGTAGAGGGCGTGATCACACTCACTCCGAGTGAAGCCCAACTTAAGCAAATGCTTGTCCATCCTCATGTACCACGCTCTAGGGCTTTGCTTCAAGTCGTAGATTGTGCGCTTCAACTTGCACACACGGTCCGTACCATCCTCGAACCCCGGCGGTTGCCGCATATACACCTCCTCCTCTAGGTGGCCATATAAAAATGTGGTTATTACATCAAGTTGTTCTACCTCTAAGTCAAGTCTTCACGCTAGAGCTAAGAGAACACAAAGGGTAGAGGACTTTACTACCGGTGCAAAGGTCTCGTTGTAGTGAAGCCCGGACTACAAAGCGACCAAGCGAGCCACCAAGCGAGCCTTGTATCGCTCCACCTCACCGTTTAGCCCGAGCTTCTTCTTGAACACCCACCAGGACCCAACGGTGTAGATATTGGGGGGTAAGGGAACAAGGTCATAAACATCATTCTCAATGATAGACTCGTACTCCTTATTGAGCGCTTGAGTCCAATTACTGGCTTGGAGCGTCTCCATCGCCTCACAGTAGGTGGTAGGTGTGAAGTCGGCCATGAAGCACATGGCATCTCCCCCTTCCTCATCATCCTCCACCACAAGTGAGTAGTCGGCGTATTTCTGGTTCGGGTGAGGAGCTCTTCGAGCACGAGTAGATGCAAGTGTTGAAGCGACGACAGTAGAAGGAACACCATCCTTCTCATTCTCCACTCCAACCTTTTCAACATCTCCCTCCCCATCTTGATCACTCCTCTCCTCGGGAACGTCATGAAAAGATGGCTCATTCGTGTCCTCAACCGTTGGAGGGATGACCACGACCGAATGCTTCTCTTTTGGTGAAGTTGGGAAGCGGCTCTTGAAGAATGAGACGTCACGCGACACCACCACCTTTCCGCTCTCCAATTCCCACACCCGCCATCCCTTATGATCAAGGCTATGGCTCAAATACATTCCCACACGCGCCTTCGCCTCAAGCTTGGTGCGTGTAGCATCGGGAACGTGATAGTAGCAAATGCACCCGAATGTGCGAAGGTTGGAGACGTTCGGTTTGTCGCCACTCCAAGCCTCAAGGGGGGTCACGTTTGGCATAGTCTTGGTCAAGCTTCGGTTGTGAATCCAAGTTGCCAACATCGTCGCTTCACCCCACCAAGACTTGTCCACATGAGCATGGGCAAGCATGCTCCTAATCGTCTCAACCAAAGTGCGGTTCAAACGTTCCGCCACTCCATTTTGTTGAGGTGAGTGAGGAACCGATACTTTGTGGAAGGTTCCTTGCGCCTTGAACCACCCGTCGAGCTCGTTGTTCACGTACTCTCCTCCTCCATCCGACCGAATCCGCTTTACGAGTTGTCCGTCTTTCTCCGTCTCAACAAGCGCCACCCACTTCTTGATTGTCGAAGAAGTCGCGCTCTTGTCATTAAAAAGGTAGACCCACACCATTCGTGTAGCGTTGTCGAGGAGGGTGAGAACGTAGCATGCTCCCCCTTTGGAGATAGGGGTGATTGGTCCACACAAGTCGGTGTGGACGAGATCGAGCGGGTTGGAGGCGAGAGGCTTTGTGTGATTTGGAAACGGCTTCCGCACCATCTTCCCTTCAAGACATGCCGAACACTTCTCCACCTCCTCGTTCGCGGTGACGATCCCGTGAGCAAGTAGGCGCGGGCGGCGGCGAGCTCAGCAGCGGCGGTGCGCGGGCGGCGGCGGGCTCAGCAGCGGCGGTGCGCGGGCGGCTGCGGGCTCAGCAGCGGCGGGCCGGGAGCAGTGCGGGCAGCGTGCGGGCCGGCGGCGGTCAGCGCACGAGCCGCGCAGGCTCAGCGCGGGCTGCGCGGGCTGCTCGCGGGCTGCGTAAGCGGGTCGCGGGCGGCTCGCGGGGGTTCGCGGGCAGGTCGCGGGCTGCTCGCGGGCAGTTCGCGGGCTGTGCGCGGGCTGCGCGGGCTGGTCGCGGGCTGCGCAGGCGGGTCGCGGGCTGTGCGCGGGCGGTTCGCGGGCTGTGAGCGCGGCGCGCTGTGCGGTTCGCGGGCGGCGTGACGGGGCCGATCGGGGCGCTAAGGGGCGACGCGACGGGGGCCGTGAGAGGCCGCTAAAAAAAAATTTCGACGGGGCCGCAGGGCCGCTAGATCTTGCTAGATCGACGGGGCCAGCGGGGCCGGAAACAAGCGAAGGTAAGCAGGTAGGTAAGTCGGTGGGCCCTAAGAACAGTCCTAGCGAAGGACCTGCTCTGAAACCATGTCAGAAATAACTGAGCAGGAATGAAATGAACTAGCACAGAGTTTGGTACAAGTAGGAAACCCTAACTTTGTGTACCCCCTAAGGTGTAACCCACTACAGCCTACACAATATAAACATGCAATGTTTGACAAGTCCTGGTACAACCAACACGTTGTTGATCGTCATTGGATCGCCGTCCACCGCGAGGCACAACGTTTCGCGTCCATTCACCACAAGCGAGTCTTAATTACCGAAGACCACACGCTTGATAGGAGCATCCGCCGAGACATCCTCAAGAAGCTCAGTGTGCGGTGTCATGTGTTGTGTAGCACCCGTGTTGAGAAGCCATGCGAGCCCGCCAAGAGCTCCTTCTCCGGCGATGAACACGAGCTCCTTGGCGTCTTCTCCCGAAGTCACCACGTTCGCGCGCCGCTCCTCTTGAGTTGGAGACGTTGGAGTCCAATCCCTTGGCTTGCTCCGACACTCGCGCCACCAATATCCAACCTTCTTGTAATACCGGCATGCTCTTTCCCGAGCATGACCACGGTTGTTGTTGTTGGTGTGTCCTCCACGTGAAGAGCTCGCGCTTCCACCTGCATGCCCACGATTATTCCGTGGCTTGGTGTAGACAACGCTCTTCTTCGCTCCGCGCAAGAAGTAAGCCGAACTCGTTGAATCGCCTTTCAAGTTGATCCACCGCATCTCCTCGTTGATGAGGCGCATCGTCACCTCCTCCTTGGTCCACGTCGCTTGCGTGCCGTCAGGGGTGGTGATGACGGTTGACCATTCCTCTCTGAGCCCTCCGAGAAGTGTCATGATCCAATCTTTCTCGTCCACGTCCGCTTCAAGCTCCACCATTCGTTCGCCAAGCTCCTCAACGTGGTTGGCGTATGCGCGCATGCGTTCGCCCTCCTTGATGCGCACGGTGAAGAAGTTCCTCCTCGCTTGCAAGCAGGGGAGCCATTTCAAATATCTGCTCAGACAAAATAAAGTTCACACACAATCACAACATCCAAACCATGCCGAACACAAATTCTTGTACACGCTCGCACCACGCATGCAATGTAGAACAAAAGATGGGAGGCAGACAGACGTGAATGCAAATGATAGCATCACATAACACGTTCGATAAAGGAAATATTTCAGATGAAGAGATGAGATTCAGATATGCTGCGACGGAGCGAAAACTGTAACATCAGGTGGGTTGGTGACATGTGAAGGAAACGTTGTACAAACTTTTCTGCGAAGAGCTAGATGCAGTGCGGGTGCTGATGGCTGAGGACAAGACAATTTGTATTGAGGACCTGTTGTTGGCTACAGCGGAAGGGCTGCTGCAATGGTTGCGGAAAAAGGTTTTGGTAAAAGAGGCGAAGGCATCACTCAAAACGGCGCTCGTGCAATCGATCTGCAACGCCATGGGCAGCATTGCCTACGTGCACATGACACCTGATAAAACAAAGTGGAAGTTTCGGTAGCTGAGAAAGGTGCGAAGAGTTGGGGGAGAACAGGGGGCAGAAGATGTCACTGTGGGTTATGCCGAGTGGCACATGACAATTGCATCCAATGCACAGCGCACGACCCTCGTCTGTGGCTAGTGCATTTATCGTGCATGAACATGCTGGTGTAGGCGATGACTCACGGTTTCTTGGTGGGACGACACCGTGGGCCAACGCACTGATTGACATGTCAATCACCTTAAAGAAATGAAAAAAAACAAACGACAAAAATTAAGGAATTACACAATGTGACCAACGATGGACATGATATCACTTAACCAAATTATAGGCCAACTATACTGCACAATACCAACTAGAACAACATCTTTGTTGTGTCAGAATATTATGCTCTAGCCTGCAGTGGGGTGCTCTATAGCGAGTACAACCCTTCTAGGGTTAGCTATTTGTACCACCATTGTTGCTAGTGCAAACCCTCCTCCTTTTGCTAATTTCTCTCTTGCCTAGCTAGGTAAACCCTAGCTATGGCTCCTAAGCATACCCATTATCTTGACATGCTATCAGAGCAGGACGATCCTGTTGGGTCGATCCTGTGGGTGGGCCCCACCACCTTAGTCTTCCGCTGCTCCTACTACTGTCTGTGTCGCACGCCCCGTGGCGTGCGACGGATTTTTCATCCCGCCGCGCGCTCGGGGCGTGCGGCGGTTTTCTCCCCGCCGTGCGCCCCGAGGCGCGCGGCGGTTTCCTACCGTGGGGGACCCCGCGCGCCCCCGCCCCTTTCGTTGCGACGTTCTAAGGAGCCGCGCGCGGCCCCCCGTGGCCACGATTTCCCGTCGCGCCGCCCAGGGGAGCCGCACTCGGCCCCCCGCTGCCCCGATTTGCCGTCGCGCCGCCCTGGGGAGCCGCACTTGGCCCCCCGCTGCCCCGATTCGCCGTCGCGCCGCCCTGGGGAGCCGCGCGCGACCCCCCGCTGCCCCGTCGACGGCCGCGACGCCCTGGGGAGCCGCGCGCGGCCCCCGCTCGATTTCCCGTCGTGCCGCCCTAAGGAGCCGCGCGCGGCCCCTCGCTGCCCCGTGGTGGCGTCCTGGGGGCCGCGCGCCGTCCCCCTCGCCGTCCCCCGCGCTCCTTCCCCCGTTCCGCCCGTTTTAGGGTTTGGGGGTGAGGAGTGTGGGGGTGGCGACTATGGGGGTGTCGGTTGTGAGTTCCTCCCCCTGCTCCTCCTCCTCCCTAGTCTCCCTCTGCTACAGCTGCCGCTGAGGGGGGTGGTGTGTGGGAGCCTAGGGTTTGGGGTTTAAGGGGGGTACCGTGGGAGTGGAGCTAGCTAGGGTTTGAAGCAGAGGGTGTGTGTCGAGGGGTGTGGGACTGGCAGGGGGAGGTTGAGCGGAGGTTGCCGTCGTGTTGTACGCAGCGCCTGTACTCCGGGGCACTCATTCCCGGTAGCTCAGAGAGCCGGTTGCGCCGTCGCCTGTGGGTCCGTTGCTCCTGCCGCGCATATTAGCCGCGGAGCCTGTTACTCCTGTACTCCGGGGCACTCATTCCCGGTAGCCACGTTGTCGCACCAGAGCCGTCTGTTGCCCGTGTGTCTGCAGCTTCAGTCGTCGCCTCCTATCTACACTCCTCTCGCCAGCCCTCCTCCTCCTCACTTGCCCCCCTGTGACTGCCTCTAGCTTTGCTCATAATTGTGAACCTTAAACTATTGCTTCTTGCTTGTGCTCAGAATGTGTGGTGACATCGTGATCCACCCTGAGCTTGTACTGCTTTGCTTGCTCTGCTGATTACACCCCACTTTGACTATGGGGGTGTGTCAGAATATTATGCTCTAGCCTGCAGTGGGGTGCTCTATAGCGAGTACAACCCTTCTAGGGTTAGCTATTTGTACCACCATTGTTGCTAGTGCAAACCCTCCTTTGCTCATTTCTCTCTTGCCTAGCTAGGTAAACCCTAGCTATGGCTCCTAAGCATACCCATTATCTTGACATGTTGTATTGCTCAACTTTTCTTGAATTGATAACGCTTATGAAGTAGTTTTGATAATAACTACTTCTTCCTAATTAACCCGGTTGCGGTTCACGTCGCAATGTTAAGATCTTCAAGTCTGCCCTTGAAAGTACACATACTTACTACGGCACTAACACGTGTGAGGGCAGGCTTTCCAACTTTGACAAAGAAAGAAAAATCACAAAGAAATTAGTGTGATAGATCATAATGTTATAAATGTGCATAGTCAGTTACGGTCATTCATGTGCGCATGAATATATCGAGACTCTAAATTATTGAACAAAAGAGGGCGATATCGCATGAACAAAAGGCAATGAATGGCAAAAAAATAACTAGTGTAAAATGAATCTACTACAGAAATAGTAAAAACAAAACAAACAAACAAACGAACACAATTACGTATCGTTCTGTCAATAAATGCAACGGTGGTATATTGCTTGATCACCTCTTGTGACACGCGCTCTACGTCACAAAGATACCCGTCGTTGGGCAACATCATCCAATGGGAAAACGCAAATATACCCTATTCCGACGGCTTCAACGAGTAGAATGACGTTGTGGGGATATCAGTGCTGCGTATCTCTACACTGAGTGCACATGCGACCTCTTGGCCCAAAGATATGACATTCTCTTTCACTGCTCCCGAATTGGAAGATTGCTTATGCTATGAAAACAGGAATCAAGCTCCACTTGACTCGAGCAACAATAGCACCAGTAATAATCTTGATGATCCTCTATCTTGTTGAATGCTTAATTTAATACTATACGAAAACGATTAAAAAGCTTAACTACAAACTTAAACTTAGCAGCATTAGCTCCACTTGTGACCCTCCGAGTATGACAAGCTGGTACTTTCTAGCTAATGGCATGAAAAATGCAAGGGAGTGGGGGAGCTTTACTCAGTTTGTAGAATGGAAGAACGGGTCGATCAGCGTTCTGGAAGCACCAAAATATGGTTTCTACTCTCATCAACACATAGTAGTAGAATTCTTGCTTGCAAAGCGATTAAAACATTATTGTATTGGCCAAGTAAAGCACGTATTTATACAAAATCCTAATATAAACAAAGGAAAATGTTGGAAATTAAAATAGTTGCATTAATAGTCTTTGCCCAACCAGAAAAACGGTTGCCAAATTGCAAAAGAATATGGCTAAAGTTGCCTCATGAGATTATGGCCTTGGTCCGACAGTTGAGCGTTGAGGGGTTAGGGAGATGCGACAGCGGGGGATCTAAGAGCACTGAGGTGTTGGTAAGAAACAGAGAGTACAGATTTGCGTGTTGAAAGAACGACGATGGTGGCCTTTCGCCATGCTATAAACGGTGGAGGGTCAGGTGCTTCAGCTGCGGGCAGCTACGTAAGAAGCGGTCCAGCCTACGCGTAGTCACCAAGAATTTTTCCTTCCACTCTTCGCGTCTCCGAAAGTAGCATGGTCTCTCGGGTGCTAAGTGCAACCCTTTCAGTTTGGGACACCACGAGGCAAGGTGAACAAGGAAGTCATCGGTGCGGTTCTCCACGCTCTCATTGGAGAGATGTAGACATGCCTCTGGTTAACAGGGTGAATCACCCTTATGACACTGACTATAAGGCCGGTTTTCATTATGCACCCTTTTTTTTTCAGAGTGGTTCATTTCTAGACCCTTACAAAAAGCGTCACCTCATCCCTCCCTTTCCTCATACCTGGTCGGCAGCGGGATATGGTATCTGGTGGAGCGATGGGTGACGGGGCCGGGCGACGGCGATGGGTCGGCGACCGTTATGCGACAGCGACCGCGATGCAACCGCGACGACAAAAGCGGCGGCGGCGTCCACGGCGATGGGACGGGGCGGCGGCGTTGAGCACTGGATGTGCACGTCCGATGGGCTGGGGTAAGGGGAACAGAGGAACACTGGGGTCGCCCAATCTGCAAAAGTCAAAGATATATTTTTTTCTTTGCATTGAAACCAATAAATGCTAAAGTACGTATTAATGATGGATTATCAAGCGGATCTGTGAAATGTTGGGTTTCACGCCTGTCGGAGGTGGTGGCTTGGGTGTGTGGTAGGGTGGATGGGCGATGACGAATGATGACTGTCGATGTTGTTGGCCTTTCATCGTGTTTCAGCTAAAGTAGCGCGGCCAGATGCTTGCTGATCAACACATGCTGTGCCCCCGTGTCCACTATTGCTTGTCTCCTTGACATGCATGTACTCGCAACTTTGAAGGGCATTGCTGAAATTCCGCTGAGCGCGGGAAGTCTTGGTTATAAATCTCATATGGTGTGTAACTGTGCGGACATGCGTGGTGAACCTAGACATGCAAAACGTCACATCGGGTGCGCGTGTTCGCACATATCAGCGAGGGTGCGTTCGAGTTCGAGCGGGT